AGCCCGAGCGAGGCCCACTGCGGTGGGGTGGCCGGTGCCCTCGCACACGTACTTCCTCCTGGCGGCCTGGTGAGGTGTTGCGTCGCTCGCCCCGACGCCCTCCCTGTAAGTCCGAGCGAGGCCCACAGCGGTGGGGTGGCCGATGCCCTCGCACAAGACCCTCCTCCTGGCGGCATGGCGAGGAGCTGCATCGCTCGCCCCGATGCCCTCCCTGTAAGTCCGAGCGAGGCCCACCGCGGTGGGGTGGCCGATGCCCTCGCACACGGGGTTGCTGAAGGCGGCTTGGAGAGGTGCTGCGACGCTCGCCCCGTCGCCCTCCCAGTAAGACCGACACTGCACAACATGGGCGGCGAGGCAGACCCCTTCGATGAGCTAGACGCGATGCTGGAAGCCCAGGACCACATGGTGCCCACGCTCGGGGAAACGCCCGTCCCTGACAATGTCGGACGGCCTGGAGTTGCCACGATGGACGGAGGGGAGGATAGCCAGGAGGATCCCGATCCCAGTCACGACCCTGCTGGACGTGGCGAAGACCCCGATCGGGTGGCCGCACAGCGCAGGCAAGAGGCGATTCAACGGGAGCTTCGACGATACACTCAAAACTGGGTTGGGATCCGCTTAATGAGCAACAGACGGAGCAGGATGTTTGCGATGACTGGATGGAGTGGTGCGTGCCCTACACCGCGGAGCAGTTGCGCGATCCAGCCTTCGATGTCCTCTGGGACGGGGGAGGCTGGGACGACGCCCTCCCACGAGATGCGCGACGCTGGCGCCGAGCTCGGGAGATGTGCGAGGCGGCTTACCGTGCAGGAACTCGCAGTCGTGACCGTTACCGAGCACACCTTCGACGGATGCGAGGAGGCTCCGAGGAGGATTGTGCAGAGGCAGTGGACATGCACCTCCGAGCCTTCGACCAGCACCGTGTGTGGATGGATCAACGCTCTGGAGATCGTGCTGGCAGAGCCCCTCCTCCTCGGCCCCCTGGAGCTGCTAGAGGCATGGTGATCAACGGCATCCAGCACTACAAGCACGTCAAAGGGGCTGGCCCGTGCGCTGTTGGAGTTCGAGGCCTTCTGTGCGCGCATAGCCAGGCAATCTCACATCCTCGATCAGCTGGATCACGGCGCCCGTGAGCTCCTCCAAGCTGGCCTTGGCATGCTAGCGGCCAGCTCCTTGAAGGTCCAGTCACAACTCATCATTGCTAGGGCCAAGCAGCTCTCCTCAGAGGCCGAGAGCAGGTGCAGCAAAGCTTGGGCTACTTGGGCAAAGAACGCCTTTGCGGGAGGCGCTGGGTTGGCGCACCGCTTCGCCAAGCCCAAGCAGGAGGTCGAGGTTCCCAGGGAGAACAAGAGTGGCCACCCTTGCGACCTGGCGGACACTGAGCTCAACGACTGGAAGGCCATCTGGGAGCACCACAAGCTGGGTGAAGTCCCCTTGCCGGAAGATGCTACGAGTTGGCCTGCCCTCCCACACCTCTCGGTGCAGGACCTCAGACACGCCATCCGCACCTTCAAGCTGGGCACCGCCGTCGGGCAGACTGGGTTCCAGCCGAGGCAACTGGACGCTCTCTCGGACCAGGCGCTGCTGGCCCTATCTCTCCTCTTCCATGCCTGCGAGGATCATCTTGGTTGGCCGCCGCAGCGCCTGGCCACGGTGCTCGTCCGTCTACCGAAGGCGGGGGGAGGTATGCGCCTGATCGGCTTACTGAACACCATCGTACGCCTGTGGAGTCGTGCTCGTCGGCCACTGGCTGCCCAGTGGGAGGCCGATCACAGGGAGGAGCACGCCTGGGGGCTTGGCCCAGGACGAAGCTCGTCGGCGTCGGCTTTCTCGCACAACCTCACGTCTGAGATGGCGCTGGCTCGGAAGCTCGGTGTCATCACTCTGATGGTGGACCTACTTAAATGCTTCGAGATGGTGGCGCCAGAAGTGCTAGTACGTGAGGCGGCCGCGGCCAATTTCCCACCACGGCTGGTATGGCTTCTGGTCCAGCTGCACCGTCAGCCTCGAGCTGTTCGAGCGCATGGCAGCGAGAGCGACTTCTTCATCTCGTTCCAGGGCATCGTGGCAGGGTGCTCTCAGGCGACAACCCTCCTGGCCGTGTTGATGCACAGGGCCATGCTTGGTCTCAGCGCGCTGTGCCCCTCGCTCAAGCCCAGGCAGTTGGTGGACGATGTTTCGCTCCAGTGGACGGGGCTCGCCATGCACAGTGCCACGGAGCTGGGCGAGGGCACCGACCAGCTCACGTTCGAGCTCCAGGGGCTGCGGCTGCCAATCCAAAGCAAGAAGCTCGGCTACGTCGCCTCGTCCAGCCGTGCAAGCAGAGCTTTCCGCGCGGCGGCGAAGGCCAGGCAGGTTACAGGCCTGCCGTGGATCCGCAACCTTGGTCACGAGCTGGCAGGCCCTCAGGTGCGACGGCGGCAGGAGGCCACGAGGCTACAGCAGCTACGCCAACGTGTACGCCGCTCCATCATCCTCAAGAAAGCGGTGGGCGCCAGGCGCATGACGCGCATCCAGGCCGCTGGGATCACGCCGTCCGTCACGCATGGGGCCTCGGTCAGTGGGGTAGCCGACGCCGTGCTGAAGCCGATACGATCAGTTGCGGCGATGTTGGCAGGTGTGCGTCCTACGGGCAGCATATGCATGGGAATGCTCATGCAAGATCAGGTGCAGTACGACCCCCTCTACGCGGCGACCACCAGCATCGTCTTCATGTACGCGAGCATGCTGCGGGAAGGCCGAATAGAATTGCAGGCCCTTGGCGACACGTTGGCCTTCGTGGACGTGCAGATGCGGTCACAGCCTAGCTGGAGCAGAGTTCGTGGCCCTCTCGGAGCTCTGTGGCTCACCCTGCATCGGATAGGATGGAGGCTCAGTTCAGCAACTACCTTCGAGTCCGACCTCGGCACGGTGTTGGACCTGAAGCAGATGGCGCCTAGAGACGTTCGGGATCAGGTCGTCCAGGGCGTCACGCGCTGGCTGTTGGTGCGGGCGCAGGGCCACATCGAGACGCAGAACGGCGAGCAGTTCTGGCACCGCGGCATCTGACGGTGCGCGGAGAAAGCAGTTCGGGACCCATCCGAACGCGCCTCGGTACAGTGTGTCTGGACTGATGCGGTGTGGCCTCGGCAGAAAAAGTATGAGAAGAGGCTGATTGCAAGCGGGCAGTGCCTTGCCTGCGGGGCTGAGCGCGAGACCCACGGCCATCATTGGTATAAATGCCCTGCCCTTCTGGACCCTGCCCTACACGAGTCGGATCCGCCTGAAGCTGTTGCCAGGACCCGTGCGCGCCTCGACCAGCTTGCTTTGGAGTCGGCCCAGGATGACCCACATGAAGCATTGCGTTTCGCGTATGCTATTCAGCTCAGGCCCCCTGCTTCTGAGATGCCTCCCATGTGTCCCGATTTCGTGCACCACTGGGGAGATCCCGAGA